GAAGCGTCCTTCGAGGTGCGTGGGCCGGGCCGGGGTGGGGGAGGCCGCGGGTGGGCGCTGCCCTCGCGGCGTCGGGCCCCGCGCTGACCGCCGCGCTGCCCTCTCTCGCAGGCCTGCTTCGCCTCGCTGGTGAGCCAGGACTACGTGAACGGCACCGACCAGGAGGAGATCCGCACCGGTGAGGCCCGGGGGCGGGGGCAGGCCTGAAATACCCGGGGGCGCGGCTGGCGTTGGGAATCTGTGGGCAGCTTCCCCTAAGGCTTCTGGGCAAGTTCTGCAGCTGCATTCGGGCTTCCCCGGGGGGTGTGGGGGGGGTACGTGCCTGCTCGTTTGAGGCCAGAAGAGGTTTAAAAACTATTTCAGGGTCTTCGAAGGGTGAGACCCGGGTATAACTCGGGGTTGCTCGCCCCTTCCCAGGCGTAACGCTGTTCACAGCAGCAGGGGGAGGCGCCCTCGGAAGGAGCCCCCCGGGAACGATCGGGGTCTTGTGGAGGAGCCTGGGTGCCAGCTGCCGGCTGGGGTTGGGTGGGGTTGCGTTGACGTGCTGTGAAACGCATGGTTCAAACGCGAGGAAGCTAATGTGACGCATTATGAAGCTATACGAAGCAATAATAAAAGGTGGGAAAGGAAAGCCTAGATTGCTTAGTAGCAACGCTTTAAGGTTTGTGTGACGGGCGCCTCTGTGGGAGGCGTCATTAATGCTGAACTGGCATAATCAGGCAGTTAAAAAGCGGCCCTGCCTGCTGTTTAGAGGTGTACTTTTCCCTGAAAAATTTTCGAAGCCTGACTCTCAGCGCTGTTTTGAAAACAGCATAAACGCTTCTGAAAACTCCTTTCTGGATATTGGGTCATACTCATATGCTGGAGTGGGGCAGCTTTTGTTATTACAACAGTAGTGCATCATACACGAAAGGAGAATATTCTCCTAAACATGCCCATATTTAAGAACCCTACATTGAGCTTGTTGCTTGGGCATGCAATGAAATGTTTTCTTCATTCAACTAAGTTCCGCAAATTATTTTATCGCTCTTTGTCATTGTCAAAAATGTAATAAAACTTGGGAAAAAGAGTTATTACGTTGCACCTTTAAAAGAAGTTCTGAAAGTTTGCAAAGCAGTGGTTTTTACAGAGACTTAATGCACATCCTGGTTTTATAAACATGTGTTTTTAATAGCATGCAGACAACTACCAGTATCAGTCTGATAACTTTTTTTTTTTTGAATCTGTTCTTTCTATTTTGTTATTTTATGTTTAGGTGTTGATCAGTGCATCCAGAAGTTTCTGGATGTTGCAAGACAAACGGAATGCTTTTTTCTACAGAAAAGACTGCAGCTATCAGTCCAGAAACCAGAGCAAGTAATTAAAGAGGTATGTTTAAATTAATTTACCTGTGTTGTGCTAGATGAGATAAGCTGTGCACCAGTACAGTTAATCGCCTCGTTCACATGAATTTTGGGCTTCTCAACATGATGCTGTATCTTAAGTTGGTAGAACTTGACTGTTAACATAGCTCTCACCAGGAACCTGGAGAAGCTGGATGCCTGCTGCTCTGCGGAGTATTGGAAGAAACAAACTAGTTAATCAGATTTTGCTGGAAGTAATGATCTCTGAATACGTGACCTAGGGGAACGGAACTAGTGCGTTCACAGTGCTTTCCCTCTGTTTCATTAGACACTTTTCCATTATTAGACTCCCTATAAGATCAGCTTGAAAACTCAAGCTAAAAGAACGACGTGCTCTTTATGCGAGGTGGTTATTCTTACAAATACTATCTATTTACTAACATGCATTTTTTCATCCATAGGATGTTTCAGAATTAAGAAATGAATTGCAGAGAAAAGAAGCATTAATTCAGAAACATTTGGGTAAACTGCGACACTGGCAACAGGTCCTGGAAGATATCAGTGTACAGCACAAAAAGCCTGCAGAAATGCCTCAAGGTCCATTAGCTTACCTGGAACAAGCATCTGCTAATATTCCTGCTCCCATGAAGCAAACGTGATCTTTGATTTTACATATCTGAATATTTTCAACAATGCAAAGCAGTGGTGTTAGTTTTACTTTGTATGCTTTTTGTATAATGTAATTTGTACTGCAAATATAAATAGTTAAGACAATTAAGCAAAATAAGTTATCTTCTTTTTTTTTTTTAACAAAAATACGGATTGGTTTTATATTTCAATGGAAAGTATGCAGAGTTGCCATTCAGGATGCTTTCTGGTAGAAGTGTGTTTTCCAGAATGCATCCTGTTCCTTCTAGAAAGGGTGGTCCTAGCTTTCCCCTAACTGTATCTTTGCTGGTACGATGAAAATACTTGCAAAGATTACTGTTTGGTTTTACTGGAAGATTTAAATGTTTTGTGATCCAGTAATTGTCCTTAAGTAACACTGTAGGAGCACCCTTAGAATTGTCTGTATCTAGGTCAGATCAAGAGTACTTTTTTGGAAGTGAATTGTCCATCTCCACTGGACTTCTGCTCCCCTTGTGAAGAGGTCTCGGCACATACAAATTTGATTCTTATAGGATGAAGTGGAACTGCAGAATGCACCCCGGCAGGGTATGTAACGCAGGCCCAATGTTGCTGGTGTTCTATCTGTCAGGCTAGTGTAGAGATGGTCCAAAATACCTACCCCCAAAATGAAGACCACTCATTGTGGTTGTTGGGTCATCAGCACTGTCCAGTCTACAGAACTAGCTTCTACTGGGGTGCACTATTTAGTAATCTAAATGTAGCCAAGAAAAGATTTTGGAAGTAGAAATAGCAAAAGAGTCCTCTCTCTGTATTCCTAGGCAACAAGCTTAATTTGTCCATAGAGCCAGGAAAGCCACTTTCTAGGGACACCTTTTTGGGGACAGAGTTAAGTAATTAGAATATTGTAACCCTGGAAATTAGAATTGGTGATTGTGTACTGAACTTTCTGGTGTGCTTTAAAAGTTTTTGGAGCAGAGTGGAGGATGAAAAGTAATGAAAAACTTAGCCCTATACATTTCTGATCCTCTTGCAGATACCAAGGCACTCCTCGGTGTTACTTACTGTATGCCATTTTATCCCCTTCTTGATTACATGTGTAAAACATGTTTTTTTGCCAAATCTGATGCCAAAGTCTCCTTCCAAACCAAGCAGTTCATCTCAGAAAAAATACTAGACGGCTGGGATGAAAGTGTTGGCCTGTAGAAGCATTCTGCCCCTTCTGCCACCTTTTTACTACGGGTGAGGTGCAGTGGCTGTTCTGTAGTAAGTGTTTGCATCTGTTGGTACGGTTCTTGCTGGCTGTTTGGTAAAGAAGAGGCTAGGCTGGAGGTATGCCTCTTTGGACATGTAAAATTTGTTAGGTAGCTGGGCCCTGCTGGTTGAAATTAAATAGGGATTCAAATCATAGAGCAGTTGAAGATGACCGATGTTAAACATTAGGCTGCTGGTTGCACAGTTCCTGCCTTTCACATTTGTTGAAGAATACCTGAGGGTTAATTTCTTCATGGATGTCTTTCCTCCCAGTAACGAGTTAGCTAGCATGACTTGATAAATGTAGTCATTTGCCCACTTCGCATTTAGGTGGGCATAGGAACAATATTGAGAGAAAACGTACAAGTACGCAGTTCCCATAAATCTGGAACTCTGAGTGTATCAGTCCGCGTCACACTTCAGCGTAACATAGCACTATTTTGCAAAACAGAAATGGATGATGTACAAGCAAGTTTTAATGTTCATACTTACATATTATCCTAATTCATCAGGCTGATTGCTACATCTATTGGAAGTGCAACAGGAATATTATATTGCGATGCTGACGATACAAAACAGTTTATTAAGCAAACCAGAAAGTATTTCTAAACCAGCCTGCTATAAACATAGTATTTTTGGAGGTATACCACATGCTATACAGCTTAAAATACGTTTAACAAAAACCTATTAAAACTTAAAAAATTACATTATTATATGCAGAAATTCTTTTAAACAGCTGATGAAGCAAATGTAGAAACCTATAGAAATTACCAACAGAAGTAAGGTCTTTTTTCAGCTTGTGCCAGATTGACAGAACGTATCAGAGACCAAACTGCATATTTAACGTAATTGTGGAGCGGTACAGTCTCTTGATTAAAAAGTCTCTGCACATAAAAGTATCCAGAATTTTGCTTTTTCTTCATTTTTTTACAGAGGTTGTTAAAAAAATGCATTTTTCTGAAATCCATGCGTATAACTCCATAGTAATTAAATGTAAGAGAGTGCAGTTGTTCCTAATTATCTACTTGGAAATTACATCTTTTTTTTTCTAAATCATATATTGGATTATCATTCCCTAAAAGAAAACAGGAAGAGCTTTTCTAGTTATTCTGAGAAGTATGGAAATGGTTTTCTTTAAAATGAAAAATATTTAGTAAACCATTCTTGATGCCGAGGGTCTTGTTTTTGTTCATCTTTGGTTTGTGGTGGTTCATTGCCATGTGTCCTGTGCAAACAAATAAGCATTAGCATCACTTACTTACTTAGAATCTTATCAATATTTAATACTTTTTTCCTGGAAAAACTCATGATCCTATGGATGGATCTGTGCGCACATGAACTGGGTGAGGCCAAAAGGTGCCAGCTACAATTTCTACTGGGATCTGTGCTAGCCAGGTAACTGGGCTAACAGCACTGGTAGTAACACAAAGGCAAGCGTGAAGGAGAGCTGAACAGCTATGGAGAAATGCTTGAACATAATTCTTGACTTGACATCTCAAAAAAAAAAATAAAAGGATGCTTCAAGAATATGAAGTCTTGAAAATCAGAAAATAGCAGCTGCCATTCACTCTTAAAGATATGAAATACAATTTATGTATTAAAAATGTTGGGTAAAAGTTTTACGTGGAACGGAAAGATTTATCTGAGTATTAGCTGGCTTCTATAATCAATCCTATTGCATAGTCCCTGATTTTTCAGTATTCAGGATGCTTTTTTAACATTTATATGAATTTGAGTTAGCTTATAGTAGCAAATATGACTTCACTTATAATTGATTGATTTAAAAGAATAAGTAGCAGCCAAGCTACCCTCCATCTCCCTGTACGTTTCACTTTAAAATACAAATCTGATTTGCCTTGGCAGTCATCTGGCATGACACAGAATGCCTTTATCTTTAAGATGTAGGAATTGCCAAAATGGATCCAAGCCCGTGTCCTGGGTTATTGTCTTTGGCAGCAGTCAGCACCATCTGCATCATCAAGGAAAGAACTCTGTAGCACACAATTTACAGGATAACTGATCTCCACTAGCAGATAGGTGAGAAGGCTGGCTTTTGTCCTGAAGTATAGTGGTAGGGTTTGTTTTTTCTTAATATTCACCATTATAACTGTATAATGTTAACTACATATACATTTTTAACTATTCCTTGAAGAGATAGTTCAGTTGTGTTTATAAAACACTAAGCACTGTTTAAATAATAACTCACAAATCTGAAGAAAAATTCAAGCTTTTCAGAGAGAAAACATCAAACTAAAAAGTTTTTAGTTAAGTATCTGCTAATCAATTTTTAAGTCTGTAAATCCTTTCCCAAATGATTAGCCTAGATTTATTCAACTATCTCCTAAAATAAAAATATGCCATCTACATCTACCAAGTGCAAAGTGAGGAAACAAAAGTAAGATGGAAAACACATCCTTAACAGAACCACTGATACGTGCCTGAAGTTTTAAACAGCCGTGTTCACTATTAACTACATTCTTAGTTAAATACTTGCAACTCCTCTCTTTTTCGTACCAGGAGGGATTGCAATCATAAACTCTGCTGGGCAGTGAACATAGCCTACTTCTGCAGTAAAGTTCTGGGTCTATCTGCAGAGAATTGAACACATGGAGTTCACTGCACAACAGGAACCTTACATCATTGTTTATTTCCAAATGTCTAATGTGTTTGAATACCAATTCATTTATCATCTTACAAGTCACTGCAAAATGGACAAATACCTTGTGGCAGCAGTGCTGTCTGAGGACTGTGCTGAGGGAGAGCCCACCCTGAGGCAGCCAGGACTCCGGTCTAAGCTTGTAGATTTTGTTATTTGAGGAGCACTTCTTTTTGATCTCAAGTCACAGCTCAAAAAGCTCTTTGCGTAGGAAGCTAAATTCGGAACACTGACAACACGACTGGGCACCTCAACCATTTTCTTCTGCTGTTTTTTATTGCAACAGAAAATTCCATTACATACGCATTATTTTTTTTTTATACTTTATACTATAAAATCTCAACTATACCTCATTCCTATATATCTTGTGAGGAGCACCCAAAAATTAAGATTCCCATCTTTTTCTATAGACATTTAAAATAAATTCTCAGGGTATGCTGTGAGGATCCATGGATTAGGTAGTCCAATTAAAACAACTTGTGTATTTGACCTTGAGGTTTTAGATACATCAAAGCTGATGATAGCTTTGCAGAGGTCAGTTAGGTCCTTTCCACCAACTTGACCTCCCTGCTTTCCATGACTATAGACAGTATCATACAGAGGGGCTGGAATGACAAAGGGCAAATCCTGAGCAACCCAAATACAATTCATCATTTTCCTTGATGCATGCAATATCCCAAACAGCAACTCCCAAATCTGCAAGCAATGGCTGTGCTTATCCCAGTGGAAGACTGACGTCTTTGGAGTTACAGTGTTTCATATTTGCTTCAACACCTGCATCTATGTGCATATATACTTCTACTGAATTTATGTTATGCTCAGCACCTGACTGTTGGCTTACTGGAAAGAATTCTACTGAATAACATTACCATAAAAAATTAATAGGACCTTTATTGTCCTGATCATCTGTATGATTCAAATAGCAATAAAACATCACGATTTGCGATTTTAATTGCATTGCCCATCTTACCTTCATGGAAGGAGTCAAGCATCCTGTATTAGGGTTGAAAGAAAATGATCGATTCCTGTAAGATTCAGTGTTGGCTAAAAGTGAATGCTGACATTTTCTTCCTTCCTGGGGGGAAAGTTATGTGTATGGAAACATCAATTTGTTGGAAGTTGGTATGGAAACATCTATTTGTCAAAGTATTCCAGAACAGAAAGGAAAGTATCAGTTTGAAGCAATGTGTGAAACACTGAATAGAGTCTTCCAACAGATGCCAAAATATATATGTACATGTAAAAGGAAATCTTACCGCTAGCTGCTTGATAATCTCTTCTCTCTCACTTAATTTGTCTTGCAGACAGCTTATAAGGTGTGTATCTTCTGATCTGGACTCCCACTTTCTTGACTTTTCTTCTAATTCTTTAAGTCTGTACCAAAGAAAAGGTGGACTGGAAAAAACTTCCTCAGACCAGGTTCAAGAGATACCTGGGCTGTACCCTGCCCTAAATTCCAAGCCTAGAACACAGGGACATAGTCAGGCCTTTCTGATAAAACAGCATTTTTTTAAAATGGGCATCTGTACATGAATTACATGTAAGTATAGGATGTTGTGGAGTTCCAGAATAAACTGCCACCAGGGTTAACCCACAACACCTGTCCAGTGTAAAATCCAGCCCCTGGTGTAAAATACTAACAAGCTTCCATACCACATTGCTAGTCTAGTTTCCTAAAGGAAAAAATCAGTGTCACAGTATCTATGCATGTCTGTATTTATCTATTTGTTCTCTTTTCTGACCCAATAACTTTAAAATCCACAGGCTAATTCCAACCATATTTGATAGAGGCCTCAGAAATACTCAATGCCTGTAACTTTCATGAAAAGAGAGGCTTGGATATACATGCTGCCTTAGTGAACCCTCTAAGTCAAAACCTGTAGTGTGAGTTCAGCTCTTTAAATGCCTTAATCAGGGGAAAAGATTCAAATGAGAGCTTACACCTTCTTAGAGATGGTGTGGAAACATACATTTGATTGACCCATGAGAAAACAAGTCATTATTTCATCAGCCACATTCATGAATTTTGCTGCTTCAGAAACTGAGTGCTATGAAGTTCACCTGCCATACTGAGAAATGTATTACAGAATACAAACCACCATTTTGTGGGGGTTTGTTTGGTGAGGGTAAGCATTTTTGAGAGCACCCCCCCTCTCCCCCCAATCTTAGACTCTTCATCTAGTGTATCTCAGAGTTTAGATAAAATTACATGCAAGTAGGTCTCTCTTCTGGACCTATGCTGCACAGTTGGGGTAAGAGAAAAGGATAAGGGATATATATAATCACAGGGATTGCTTCTGAGGGACTTCTCCTGTACAGTCTGACGCACCACAGAACTACTTAACTCCACAGGGGGCTGCAAAGTGCATTTATTTACATGAGTTAGTGGGGGCTGTCCTGGGAAATTTGCAAGGGAGTGAGAATGAACTAGAGCTTAACCTCAAAGATGCTGCTCTGCTGAACAAAAATAAGTACAAGATCATGGATCAAGGCCTCTGGTAGCATCTGTGACAAAGATGATTTTACACTTCATAAAACTGCAAGATGCTAAGTGCAGGTTTTAATTTAGCATTGTAAAACTGTATGTATAGTGCTTTACATTAAACAATATTCAGAGTTTATTACAATATATGTGGGTCTTTTTGTGTTTGCAAAGGAAATATCTATACACTTTTATTTCAGTGCTTATAATATTCTACCTATGAGTAATGAAAAAATTATACATACTAAGAATAGTAATTTCAAACAGAACTCATTGCCAGTACGAGCCAGAGTTTATTTAGATGACTTAGTTTCTAAGGAGAAAATCTTTGCTTGGAGATGTGCCCAAGTGCTGCTGTAATCAGATAATATGTTTTTGATTTCCTGCCGGTGATCTTGTTGCAGTATGTCCATTTCTTTTTTATGCTTGATATTGAGGTCTTCGACCAGTAGCCTGTCATTGGTATTAAAATATGTCTGAATTCTCATGTTTCAGTACTAGTTTATTATCACTGATCAAAGCACGCAGTTTTGATTACAAAGGTAGTTAACTGGGTGCAGCTCTGGGCTTCTGCTTACTGATTTGACTTTGACACTTCAGCTGCAATCTGAAGCAGAACCACACTACCACTGAGGAAGAGGAAAATTATTTGGAGACCTTCAGCCTTCAGGAAACGGAAGGTCTATTATATATAATAATGCTATTTTCTGTCTATGGTTAGTTTGTACATCAATCTTAATGGTCAAACATGACAATAAAGTACCATAGGAACTGACCTGCATTAAGCAAAATTACTTTGAAATCTCTGGGATTTTAACATGAGGCTCTGATGTTCTATTCCATCACATTATGGCACCAGAAACATTTAATACTGTCTACCACAATCGTAAATATAATTTTTTTAAAAAGTGAAGGTAAGAAATGTTATGACAATGCCTTTAGCTACAGCAATTGTCTTTAACAGACAACAAATTTTGAAACATACTGCTATTTGATTAACACCATCAACTGAAAACTAAAAAACGCCTAACATTCTTTCAAGCCTAGCCATAACATTGTTTTCTGATACCAACCCCAAAACCAACAGACATCTATTGAAGGACCGTTGTTAGCTTATTGCCTTTTGTTTGCTAACATTGTTAAACCCTGGAGAAACTTTTTCATTAGCTCAATGCAGAGCCCATGTTCTGTTATTTACTGATTAAAATAGAGATGTCAAACTCAGGAGATTAACAATTGTGATTTTCACAAAAGATACTCAGTTTACCTTTCTTTTTTTTCTCTTTAATGTATTTCTAAGCCCCTTTCACTTGTTTCTGAAATGCTTCAGGGAGAGGCCAAAAGGCCCACAAAAGGTTTCTGCCCTTGAAATTAGAGCACAGCCATGGGAGTGATTGATTTGGCACTTGGCACGAAATAAGAAGCAGAAGAACAAGAGTAAAAATGGGAGCAGAATCCCTGAAATGGATCTTCAGGGGTAGAATAAAAGCTCTCCTTCAGAATAGCCATTTTGGGACTTGTCCTCTCTTCTCATTAAAAAACCCCTTTGTCTGCTCTCATACTAGTCCTTGCAAAAGGTTTCTGTACTGGAGATGGAATTCACACAATTCAAGAGAATGGAAATGGGAATGATTACTGCAAGCAGATTACTGGTTTCACTTACTTGGCAACTGTAGGAATAGTAATTTTAAATAATTGGTTATAAAAATGTGGCACATTCAAATAACAAGCCACTATCAGCTTTCAAATTAGAAGCAACTATATAGCATAAGACAAGGTCACTGTTAAAGTAACAGTAAATAAGCTGTTATTTATATGCACTCACCAATTTAACTATGCCCCTACCCAAATTATTGGTCCTGCAAAAGCAAAACAAGAGCTGCAAGTTAACGTTCCAGATCTTCCATGGGTTAAGTTCACAGCAGCCTGTATCAGGTGCCTAGGACCATTTGAGCACTTTGGTTCTACCTCCTGTTATTTGAAGGATTTCTCCTTACATAACTTCCATTAATGCTTCCTTCTCAAACACTTACTGTAGTAGAGCTACACCATTTATCCCCTGTAAAGATTATCCTCCAGTCCAGCAGCTTTAGCATTTGAGGCCTTTTAGACCTCATCACTGACACGTGAATAATTCTTCTCTTCATGAACAGAGGCTCTAAATTCCTTCAAGGCAGCTGGAGGGCACTGATGAAACTCTCTGGTTTGCAATTCCTTCTGTTGATCTTGCTTCAAAAGCTTGAAATGAAAGTCACTTTCAAGTAACTCTCCAAACAGTGCAAAGGGAAAAAAAAAAAAAGTTTCTTTCTCATTCTTTAAATATCTACTGACTGGTTGACAGCAACAGAATTGCTCTGGCCACTCTGACAGTCTGCCAAGAGACGCTGTATCCCTTGAGTGCTTTTCTATATAGGACATAATTTTAAAGATTCCTTTAAGGGTATACTCCTCAGAAATCCTTTTATATATACAGCTTGAGTAGTTAGGCGCATATATTCTACACCATTGCAGAAACTAATTGAAAGGTACCCATGCACCAGATCCCTCATTCTCTCCACAAAGAGAATGTGTTAAGTATGATCATCCAGAAATTTCAAAGGATTCAATGGCCATACAAATACACTGGATAGTGAACCCCAGTCTTGTCTCCCATGCAAAACGTGAAAGTCCTGCACTTTGTCTGTACACAAATGGGAAGACTGCTATTACTGCAACACAACATGTGCTCCCAGCCTGTGGCTACACTAGGAGGATGTGGTCCACTTTCTACAAAGACAGCCAAGACTGCAAGTCAGCTTGCCCTTCCTGTACCCTGACAGCATCTTACAGCTCCAGGCTTCCATCAGCCCAGAGGCACTGTCAGTATCTGCTATCGCTGCCCTTACGCCCCCAGTGCAAAGCTGGCTGTTACAACCAAAGCAGTCTCACAGAGCCAGAATACCTACGGCATTCTCAAGTGTCCTCTTCAGAGTTAACAACCCATTGGTTTCACCTACAGAGAGTACGTGTAAGAACCTGATATTAATTCTCAGAGACTTATACTTTTTTTTAATAGCTCTTGGGTGAGTTTGGGATTTGTTTATGTCATCCAGTGCCTTTCAAAGGCTGACATTATGCAGATTTTCTCAGGTCACTCCTGTGGGGCTGCACTGGGCATATTTCTCTGTGACATATAATGAACAGTTAGTTCAAATGCTTTTATTATGGCTGGAGAGAAATGTGAAATGAACTATTGCTTTTGCAAAACTCCTAACCTCTAAAATTAGTACTTTAGAAAGGAGAGATTCTGACGCTCATCCCATCTGGAACACCTCTGATGCTGGCATTATTATTGACTCTCTAGATAGCACTGTAAAGTGTGAATTTAAGGCAGACCTTCTGTGCTGTTTCTCCCTATCCTGAAGCTGTGCAGCTTCTTGCTTCTGCGACTCCAGCTCTGCACTGAGTAGCTCCATTGCGTCCTTCAAAAGTAAATTCTCTTTCTTGAGTTCGGAAATTTCACTCTGACATTTTTCCAGTTCATCATGAAGAGATCTGATCTGGCTCTGGCTACTTCCTTCCTAAGAAAAAGACCAAATTTAGTTATTCTCAGCCTCTAATTATTTAATGCAAAGAGCTCACTGGAATTGTGTGCATTGAATTTTTGTGAACTGATTTTTCAATTATATGTGCAATGCTATGTGCAAGACATAATCTGTGATCAAAACTTCCTGAACATATTTTATAGTCCCCATAAAATTTATTTTATTGTCACATTCATTCATTTACTTGTGTTGTAGATTCTGATCTTTAAATGGAAAAAAAACCTGCCCATAGGGAAAAGATGATAAACAATGCTAACATTTTAAAGTGTGACATCATAAGAGAAGGAAACCCATTCCACTTCTGTAAGAGATTCTGTGTACTTCTATTATCTCCGGAGAGAGAAATTTGATACTATTGCTTTTGCAAAACATGACATGGAAACGAAGCAGGAACTGGATTCTTGCCTGTTGCTTCTTCAGTGTCCTCACACTCCTTAGCTCCATTTGGAGTTCCTCTATTTGTTTCTTAAGATTAGTGCATGATGTCTGTTGCTCAGAGAGTTCCATCCTTAGAGATCCTAGTAACAACCAGACAGACAATCATTAAGGCAGTCAGAAGCCAGCTGGATGGGGAAGGTAGATATAGACAATGTAGATGAAAACACTAATACATTACATTTTGCTTTGTTCCTCAACTCCTTTGCCATTATGTATAATGGCTTCCTATTACTAGAGAAGTAACTCAGTTGAGCAGTAGTAAGAAAATATGGAGCTACGATATAGCAACGATTCAACATCAGAATCAGAGAGAGAATTCTGTGGCAGTTGTTTTGCAGACTAAATCACTGTAATTGCTTCTTCTAACCTCGAACTTTACTGGAGCACCCCAAGCTTCCCTGTTAGGTCCACTGGTTTACAGAGGGCCATAAGGCAGACTGAGGAGAGCTCTGGTTGTGTTAGAGAAGTACAACACTTATGTAAGCAGATCTGTCATATACTGCAACTTTTGTGTATATTGGGTACAAATTTTGGGATGGACCAAGTACAAGGAGAAAGAAGTTTTTCTCTCTCTCTTTAGTGTCCCTACAATTTTTCTTGAAGAAGAACAGAATTTATCTATTGAGCATGTAAACTTTAGAGAGCAACAAATCTTTCTAGCAAATTTGAATTACTGAAAAAAAAATGAAGAGAATCCAGTTTGTACTTAAAGTACTTTCAAATTATTATTTCTTTAATTAAAAAACATTTTATAGATGAGCTTTAATAACCTGAGTTCAAACCCAGAGATACATACAGGTCCTCCTAATGCAGTGTTCTGTTTAGTTCTGAACAGTTTACGGAAGTTTCTAAACTGACTAAAGAATATGTATGGAGCAACTGATCTCCACTGCTGAACTCAACAGAACAGACTTGAACCACCTATAATAATTCTTCACATCATAGAAAAAAAGAGGAAAGTCATATACACTAGCTACAATATTCCAATTTAATATACCTGATAATGCATACTTGAATGTTGTACACCAGACTACTCTCCCAGCAACACTCTGCTGCTGAGAGTTGAGAGCTAGGTTAAAAAAATATTAAGCCTGTATTGCTGAAATTGCAGGGTATGGAAAAGGAGATTCACAAAGGCCTGAGTTCCCAGAAGATGGGAAAGAAAATGAATGGGAGGAAAGTCAGTGCTTCTCAGCATATAATCACGCAGTAGGAGCTGTGCATGACGTGAGACGTTATACCTAGCAACAGGGTTTGCTGCTTCTGTATCTGCTCGAGTTCATCGTGTAATTCTTTCTTTGCTTTCTCTTCCAAGGTTTGTATTTCCAGCCTATAAGACTGATGTTGGATCTTGAAAGTCTCGTTAAATTCCTTTTTCAAACGTTCTTCTGCCTCCTGTAAGCAAAAGCCCCCCCCCCCAAAACAAAGTAGTTGGAGCCTATTTATCACTTTGTTGTTTTACTTGTACTGCCAGGATGAATCTGGTCTTTCATTGTAGAACTTTTGTTTTCATCACCACTTTACATGGCACTTCATCAACACAAAAATAACAATGAGCTGAAGTTAAGAAATTAAACTTAATAGGGACAAGAGAAATTATCAAGATATCATCTATTAGATTTGTTGTACACCATGAAATAATAATGACTTCTTTGCACTATTTGGCATTAGAAAGATGTGTTATTACTCAACGTAAAAAGCCCCCCAGATTTGACCTGTATGTCATTATTTATCACAGTGTGTCAGACAAAGGCTTCTATCTTTCCTTGTGTCGTTCTTGGCTAAAACTTCCACTGTCATTAGAAGTGCTGCTGATACACTGTAAATGACGGAGCTTTGTAGTGGCTCTGAAAGCAAACTCCTATCCTCAGTTTCATTTTTACCAGCTTACTGCCTTCAGCTTGGTTTTGTTAAAGCTGGGATTTTATTCTGAATATATGTACAAGATATTAAATTCGACTTAGGGTGGGTTTACTACGTATGTTTTATAAGCAGGTTTTCCCTAAGGTGTGTGATATCAACAGGGACATCTGAACTCCATGTCACAATCACATGTAGATTTTTTAAGTTGTTTTTTTTCCTCAAACAGCAACATTCTTTAAAACCTCAATATATTGCATTAACATTTTGTTATTGAAATAAATCCACTTGAACCTTTAAAAGCTTTGGTTATCCACTTAGAGAATTGATTTCTTGAAGACATCTAAGGCAATACACATCATTATACATGTCTATTATACTTCTTTTAAAGTATTTATGTATAAATTAATAATGGATGAAAAAGAATAAAACTGAGTCCTGTTAATAATACACTTAGGAATTCCCTTGTATTTCTGATGCAAGGGCACAGCTGGAGGAGCTTGTATTCATTGCAGCCTAACTGTAGAGGGTAGGCTATATTATTTTATGAAACTATTTCACTCACATTGTGGTCTAAGTTCAAATGTTAAAATTAAAAAAAAAAATCCAACCTGAAGATGATGAGGTTTCAAAATCTCAGAATAATTCATTATGTGCAACAATGGCAACCCATCATTAAGATACCTGGAGATAACTGAGTTTTGATAATCAGCTCTAGCTAATATGGTTTATCCCACAAATACGTGTTTTTTTACACTAGCATGTCGTAAACTGACCTTGAGTTCCTGATTTTTGCTTCTCTCCAACATTTTTAAGACTTTTTGATGTGATGCCTCCAGCTGCAGTTTAACATTCTGGCTTTCTTTAATGGTGTTTTGAAGATCCTGCAAAAGCTTCTCTTTTTCTTTGTTGGACTGTAGATTATGTTTCTTCAGTGACTCCTTGAAATTATTTGCTTGTTGATCTAATATTTGCTTCAGCTGAGCCACCTTCCAGAAAAGTAAGTCAACAGGATAGGATTAATGGCTGCATTCACAATGGAGAGGAATTATGTAAATTTGAGTACATTTTATGAACTTGTGTTGCTCTATGAAAAATAGCAAGATGCTTGTTTTGTGCAAGGAGCCCTTTTTTCAGTGAAGAATGACATTCCTTTTGCATATACTGTCTGTTACCCATCAAGTATTTTCCTTAAATTATTTCTTTTCAAATCGTCTCCATCTCATATGTACAATCCATAGTTCAACTTGCACAATAATTATGGCACAAACAAGGAGGCAGGCCTAAGGCTGTGCCTATTGTCATCCTGGAGATGTAACACTGCAGAGTTCATTTATATAAAGCAGTAGATTAGAACCAATGGAAACAAGAATTCTGCACACCATGGTTCAGATTTGTTTTCTCCCCTGTCTTAGCTTAATTACTAAATACAGTACACACGTCCATAATGGCTGATACAAAAGTAACAAAAAAATACCCGTTTATAAGAATTACTTGGGGGTTTTGGTGGGGGAGGGAAGGAAGGAGGAGTCTGTTCTCTTTCCTATTTGGTAGGTTTTCTAAATTTTCAGCAAAAATTTCTATTTGCCCCTCTCTTAAATTTGCCATTCCTAACATAATAGCTGTGAAATTCTGAAAAACTGCCTTCTGCATAGAAGGAGCATGCAAAATTAGTAAGGCCAATTAGCATTTTTGCTTCTGCATCTGATGTGTTCTCTCCTTTTCCTCTCCTGAGGCCCTTCTCCATTCCCAGATGGATCATAGAATCATAGAATGCTTTGGGATGGAAGGGACCTTTAAAGGTCATCTAGTCCAACCCCCCTGCAATTGGCAGGGACATCTTCAACGAGATCAGGTTGCTCAGAGCCCCATCCAGCCTGGCCTTGAATGTTTCCAAGGATGGGGCATCTACCACCTCTCTGGGCAACCTGTTCCAGTGTTTCA